CAGAAGATTCCTATATTCTCTGCTTGCTCTCGGGTTCCACACAAATGAGGTCGACGACTAAACAGGCGATCTGAAATTCTGCAGGAACGAATTTCTAAAATGCATCACTGTTGATTAGAAACTAAAGGGTTTTCTTAAAATAAATACTCAAGTTCTTATTAGCGATCCTCCTGCCTCAGCCTCCCGAGTAGCTGGGACTACAGGCATGCGCCACCATGCCCGGCTAATTTTTCTATATATATTAGTTGGCCAATTAATTTGTTTCTATTTATAGTAGAGACGGGGTCTCGCTCTTGCTCAGGTTGGTTTCGAACTCCTGACCTCGAGCAATCCGCCGTCTCGTCCTCCCAGAGTGCTAGGATTACAGGTGTGAGCCACCGCGCCCGGCTGGATTTGTTTTTAAAGGCTGTATACATTGTTGCAAATTTAGAGACTTCTTCATGAAGTAGAATCTTGTCTTCTGTGGTAGAAGTCAGCTTGATTCACTGTTTCCAGGAAAAGCTATGACTTCTTTTTCTTGGTCATGCTTTTGCTCGTGACTGGTAAAACTTCGTAGTTTGGAATGAGCTTGGATTTTAAACATGAGATTCTGAAGCATTGTTTCTGTAGAGATTAGAAATTCAAAGGAGATACAATCTTGTTGAAAAAGCAAAGAGAATTTCAAAAACCTGAAGGATTTTATTGATGTTGCATTTTACTCTAAACAAAACTTTTTATAAATAGGAAAAATAGATTGCTCACCCCCACCCCAACTGTTTAGGTAAGGGTTTTGAAAAGGTCTATGTTTCTGTGATATATTTCTGAAAACTGGGTTTCAAGAAAATGTGTTTCTAGTGTAGCTCACTTTCCATTTCCATTTAGCAATTTTAGAAAGTCATTGAAAAATGGAATGTTGAGAGTCTCTTAAAATGAGAAAAATGAAGTAATTTTTTAAAGGTTAGAATTTTTTAAAGAATATTCGATTATTTTGAAACAATGGGGAGGGTTTTCATAAAAGTGGCAGACAATGTGGCACATAAAGTCTTTCTAGTAATTTTAGGGGAATGATTAATCCTTTTATATTACCATCCATTTAAGTAACTTACTTTCTAAACTTGTGACTTGCCTTTTATTTAAGATGGAAAAAAAGCCCTCTGTTGACAATTACAGTACAATTACTGATGTATTCAGTTACAACATATTCAATGTATTTGATGTCTGGATATAAATGTCTATCAGTATGAAGGAAAGATGGAAGCCCTGATAGTGCTGACCTGCTCTGTCCTAGCTTTTGTCCCAGGGCACTTGCTTCCTGGCTGTTAGGTGCTTAGGCTGAAGGAATTGTGGTTTTAAATTCCAAAGCCCCTTCAGTGGACAGACTGGTTATTAAATGGTTTCCTCATTCTTGGAAGTCCATACTTGTGCTGGGAATCTCTGTCCAAGCTCGTTATGAGACCTCAAAAGAAATTAAGCAAGTGAAAAATCCCTAGTTGGTTGACAGACAGTTTCATGTAAATTATTTTAGACCTTGCAGTAAGTTTTCTTCAAAAATTGATTTCATTTGTTTTTTCAGCTGTTCTGATTATGAAATTTAGTGAATTCTGAAGTTGTCTGTTAGAATTACTCTAACCTGAGTGTTCTGTTTATATGTAATTACCATTACACTTGCCACATAGGGGTGATTAAGGTTGAAGGGTGGCTATCTCCTTTCTAAAATGAGGGACTTGGGTAGTGCCTTGTAGACTAGCAGTTTATTCCTAGCGGCAGCAGAAAATATCAGCTTCTAACCTAGCAGTAACATTTGACTTTTTTAAAGGATACTCATTTACCCCTGGCCTTGCTTTCGATTGCCCACTCCCTCCTTCACAAAGTTCTTTCTCTCTCATTTTTATACCCATTAAATCATGGCTTTTTACCTTGCAGGCTACATTTTCTGTTTCCTTTGTGAGTTTTGTCACTTCTGCTTAACATAAGGATTCCCTTTCTCTTCCTAATCAACTTAGCTAATTGCCATGTCCTCTATACAGCTTTTCCTTTTCTCCCTGTGGTGGGAACTGTTACTGTTTTTGCTATGCTCCCACAAGCCCTCAGTGCTCCTCAGGTGAGAGCCCTTATCTCATCACATTCTCCCCACATGATACTGAACGAGCGGAGTCTTGTCCATTAATGCCTTGTTTTTATATCTTGAGTGCTTAGAACAGTGACTTGCTCTTAATAAGGATTCAGAATGTTTTTGGTTGGATGAGGGTGGGTTATGAAAAGTTGTATAGGCACAGACATTTTATAAGTTCACTGAAAAGTGTTTTAGCTATTTGAGTTTCATATTATAATAGGTGTGATAAAGTAGAGGTAATTTAGGCTGTTGTGCTATTTGACTAAAGCTCACTCTTCTGTGTTTCCTTCCAGCATACAAGACAGTATCAGGAGTCAATGGTCCACTAGTGATCTTAGATCATGTTAAGGTAATACCACTATCTGCTATGGTCTATTTATGTAGTTAAAAATGTGGCATTAGGTCTTGTATAATACACTTTAGATTTTTGTTAATGATTTTGAAGTCATTCTTGGCACTGAATGTCGGTGTTATATTGGTGAGAAGAGTTTTAGAACAAAAGCCACAAGGCTGGATTCCAGTACTGGATCTGCTGTGGATTCTGTTTGTGGTCCTGAGTTCCTCATCTAAACTTAAAAAAAGAAAAAAGTTAATCCGACCTAACAGATTTATTAGGAGAAAAACCAGCAATAATGTTTATGAGTGTGTTTTATAACCTGTAGAGTACTGTACAGATGTATGTATCTTGTGGTCCTTGTCATAGACTGCCATGTGTTATAATTATTTTAAATAGTATTTATCTTTTCTACTAAATTTTAAGATCTTGAGTAAATGAATAATATTACTTTTATCTTTGAGTATATGTTTTATCTTGACATTGGTTTTCAAATAATGAATGTACAAGAACAGATTATCTCAAAAGTGACTAAAACCTTAAAGAATAATTTTTACTTCTTCTGTTTTTTGTAAGCTGCTTTAGTTACGTGGTTTTTTAGCCAGACTTACACCTAAGAATTATTGTTATCTTAGGCATAGAATATGACTTATACTTGGATACCCTGGGTGCTAAGCTTTTTGCCTGAGCTGTATGATCAAAATATCCTCCAAGAAAGTAACTTACATACTTTCTAGAACAGTAATCTTACATTGGTTATTGGGGTAGATTGAGGGATAAGCGCATAATTATGTTTGGCATGTGACTCCTCTGGAAATAGAAAATACATTGAGAAACATTTCTTAAAAGAAAGGGCAAAGTGCGTTGTCTTTTCATCGCTAAGAGAAGCTGTGTGTGTGGCAAGGTACTTATATAAATTAATGTCAGGGTTAAGCCTAACAAGTTTACTTCCTAGCCACAGTTTCATGCTAGGCTGCAGACTGATTCAAAGCCTCAATATATTGAACCTAAACTGTATAAGATTTACATAGATGCCCATTCATGTTTTGGGAAAGAATAGAGCCCA